TATCAATTGTTACCATGGTATCATCTGTCTTGTGGCAAGCCATCAACACAATATTCCCTCTCTACGGTCACACTGCAACGAGTGGCCCCGTATCCACGCCGACGTCAAAGTAATGTCTTATTAATCTCATTTATATTTTCTTAATAAATTAATTCTAAATAAAATAAATTTTTGATCGTATATCACATATTTACCTGATGATACTTACTTGATACTTACCTTTACTCGTTCGGATTGTCTGTCCATTTTAATGGTGTGTTAATATTACAACAAGATAGGTGTTTCTACTAGACATAGTAGACATTATACAATAGTGTTTGGCCAACTAAGTGTAATATTTCAGTATTATATATTTTATTATAGAGTGTCTAAGGTAAGGATAGAAAATTATTTTTTTAAGTAATCGCTGTTCTTGGCGTATATCAAGAAATCCAAGTTCCCTCCCTTCGCAGCGTTTTCACACGTTTTTTCGTACCACGGACATCCGTTCTCGCGAGCGTATGCCAGGCATTGTATACATATAATATTGTACATCGTGAATGTAAAAAAAATGTTAACTACGACTAAACGATCACGACTTGTGAGTAAACAAGTGGTTTTTTCATGTCCCTTTCACTGTCTTCGGATGATGACCGCTTGTCACAAATAAGTTTAAAGAAACCAGGTGACACATGTCACATATGGATTTAATGAAACCATCACACAATGGTTTTTTACATGTCGTGACATCTACTATGGACAAGCGTCCCGCATTGCTTAGTTCACGGTCAACTAGGTAATAATTATGTARACACCACCTGAGAGGGTAACAATTCCAAGGGAGTGGCCATGGATTATTAAAATAATAAGAGACTACTAAAGGTAAAAGTTGGGCGTGGACACCAAATAACATTATGTAACAATGGGGGATTAACTGAACATTTAGGGAAACAGATMGATAGGCGTTCCATGTCCTCAGGACGTTAGACACGACTATGGGATAAGAATTCCAAGAAACGATACCCAAATTAGGAATATACTGTCATAATTAGGGACCGGATTTATATGCAAATGCATATATGTATTGGAATAAGCTTTTCGAAATTTGATGAAAATTTTCCCCGATTTCGATCACTCTTATTAAAATAACACCAATTTTATTTTGCATATTTTGCATATTTCAACGTTTTTACCTATTAAATACATATTGCATGCATATTTGTAGTTTTAAAGTGCATATTATTATTTA